TGTATCCTTTACACCTGTGGGGCCAGCTCTATGAGGCTCCTCCTTCAGCTCCATGTTCCCATGTTCCCTCAGCCTCTTTGCAAGAGGGAAAGGAGCCCTGCCCCACAGCCGGAGATAGAGCTTCAGAAATGCAATTTCCATGGCCTCTGCCTCCTGGATGATACCCGCCCTCCCCTGCCCCCCACATACCTTCTGGATGTTCCCACCACCACCTCTAATGCTTCCACTTCTCTTCCAGGCATTACTCTTTACACCCCGTCCTAGGTTCCCTGTCTTAGGAAATGGCAGCTCCAGCCTTCCAAACTGCCGAGGTCAGAAATCTTTGAATCATTCTCAATTCCTCTCCCCATAGCCAATGCATCAGCAAGCCTGTCAGCTATACTTTCAAAATCCAAAATCTGCCTCAGCAGCAAGAGGCTTACTTTCTTCCTGGTATGAATGTCCTGCTTGACCACATGACATATCATCCAGAGAATCAAACCAGAAGTGAAGATAAGTGAATGTAAGTTTCAGATCTGTAGCACTGGGACTAATAATAAAATGATAATTTGCTGTGTGTTAAGTGTTTTTTATGTTCAGGCACTAAGTCCTTTACATGGGTTATCTTACCCTGTGACCTTGGGCTGATGACTTTACCTCTCTGTTTCTTTATCTCTAAAATGGAAATGACAGTGTGAAGCTGTAGTGTAATAACGTATGTGAGAGTGTTTGGAAAAAAAGTACCAAGAAATATATGTAGACCCAAAATGATCATCTCCAGGCCTTTGAAGAATCCATATTACACAGAGGGGGAATGATGGCAAAGTTCCGGCTGATGGTGAATTTGATAGCCCAGTTTTGTGAAGGCAGAATGTGAGGCCCATGGTGCTGCTTTATCTGTCACCTGAGATCGGGGTGTCTGTCTTCTGGCACAAATGTGACACCTGTTGTAGGAGAAATAGGCCTTGGCAGCTGGCACTCTGGGAGGAGAGGTCTGGCCAGGAGCAGGAGGAGTTCACTTACTAGCAGGCAAGTGACGAGTGTCAGTAGTTAAATCAGCACATTCTTTAGCTCTGTGTTCCCCAAGGGGACTAAGCAATGCCTGGGTATCCACTAGCTGTGTGAGTACAGAGGAAAATGCCCAGCCCAGTGCCTCACACTTAATAGGCACTTGGTGAGTATTAAGTGTGTGTCGGGGGGATGACTAGGGGACAGCAGGATGTGGGAATGTAGGACAGAAAGCAGTGCCCATGAAATACGGGAAGTGTTATCTTGCTCTATCACTGAGTCACTGCTGGCCCACAATCCTTCTCTGGTCAATAAGCACAGAGAGAAGAGAGTGAGAAGTTACTGGCCATTTGCAGTTTATAGAGTTTTTTTAAAAGATATTTTTACTGATTTTTAGAGAGAATAAGGGAGGGAGAGAAACATCGATGTGAGAGTGAAACATCAGTTGGCTGCTTCCTGTACACATCCCAATCAGGGATCAAGCCCACAACCTGAGCATCTGCCCTAACCAGAATCAAATTGGCAACCTTTTGGTGTACAGGACAGTGCCCAAACAACTGAGCCACACTGGCCAGAACTGAAGTTTATAGAATTTTAAATGGGCTAGAACTCACATCTTCTGACTCCCAAGTCCAAAACCCCAGTCAGAAATTGTTAGTGGGGAGGAATACTTACTGAGTAATTACTGTGTGTGTGTCAGACACCACACTAGGTCTGACATGCATAATTTAGTCCTCACACTGGTGCTATGAGGCAGGTTTTTTTTATCCCGCCATCCAGATGAAGAAACTAAGGCCAAAGTGGTTAAATAACTTGATCAGTAGTCATTGTTTCAAGTGGTGGGTATACAATTTGACCTTTCTGACTCCAAAGCCTAGCTTGTCTTTCTTCTATGTTGTGAAGTTTGCAAAGGGAGTTTCCTACCCCTTCGATTGCTGAAGGCTGGCCTGTGGACTTGGCATGTATTTCAAGGCCATTCAGACGCACCTGTGATCCAGGGGCAGGGCATGGCTAGGATCACTTCCACTCCCCACAGTGGGTTTTCCTTGTTCACTGAGAGAGCCACTGCTTACCTCCTTTTAAAGAGAAATAGAGCTGGGCAGTCGTTAAAGGTGATAAAGACAGATTTTATTCAGAACTATCACAATATGGGAGAGAGACTTCGGTGTAGAACTGAGCTCAATTCTCAATATGGTGAAGCCTGGGGATTAATAGTCAGGAAACAGACTGAGTGGGTCAGGGCATGAAAAATTACTAAAAAGAGACATTAAGGGTATGGGGAATCATTTAACAGGATTCTTCCTAAAAACTGGGTTAGGCAGGCCAAGTCTAGGGCCCAAAGATGAGGCCTAGTCTACAAGAGGGCTCAGAGGAGCGTGTCTAAGATATGGCCAAGGAGAGAGTCTTGTCAATGCCCAGTGAATGCCAGGAGAAGACTTGCTGAAGACCAAGTGGTAGTTCATTGGCCTTAGGGTAAGTTGTGTCACTTTTAGTATGACTTTTAAGAGTCAAAAGAATTTGAGCCGAAGCTGGTTTGGCTCAATGGCTAGAGCATCGGCCTGCGGACTGAAAGGTCCCAGGTTCGATTCTGGTCAAGGGCATGTACCTTGGTTGTGGGCACTTCCCCAATAGGGGGTGTGCAGGAGGCAGCTGATCAATGATTCTCTCTCATCGATGTTTCTAACTCTCCATCCCTCTCTCTTCCTCTCTGTAAAAAATCAATAAAATATATTAAAAAAAAAAAAAAAAGAATTTGACTGGAATTTAAAACTAATTGTGAGAAAGAATATGCATCTGAGACCTATAACTCCCACTGATAGGGCAAAAAGCATTTTTATTGTTATTTCCTCACAACTTTATCTGAAATAGATGGTTTTTAGTCAAAAGTGCAAAGTCAAGGAAGAGATGACTCAGTCATTCAGAGACAAAAGCAAGCAGGGCCTGCCTCTCCCTCCCAAGGGTGACTTATTTTTCACCCAGCCACCTGAGCCCCAGCCACTAGCCAGCAGCTCCCAGGGCTTGGGGAGGGATGGGCCCTTACATGAGATGTGGCTGAGTTGGGATGAGCAGATGAACAATCAGCTTTCCCCTGAGCTCATCCAGAGATGCAGCATGTAAAATTGGGCACATTTGTTATCTTTCTGCCTCACTCCCATATCCTCACCTCACTTCAGTGGCCCCAGAATCCTGCTTCCCCAGAACATCCCCTGCATGAACTAATCTGACCTGCTGCTTCTGACTGCCAGCTGGCCAGCCATGGAAACAGGAGAGACCTTGATAACAGGCAGAGGGATAAATCTGCAGAAGTTCCTATAAACATAACATGCGCAGAGGTTTGATGTCTGTGTAGAAACCCAGAGGCCCAGATCCCCAGCTGAGGCCTCTGCCCCCAGAACTCCTCAAAGTCTGTGCCAAAAAGCCCCACAGGAGCAAATGTAGGCCGAATGAGAAAACTCTGGCTTATGAGACAGAGAGGCTCTCTGTTCTGATTCTGGCTTTGAAACAACTAACTCTGTGACTTTAAATTCTGAGCTTCTCTTTCCCCATCTGTAAAATGGGAATAACAGACCTGGTCTATTTCATTGATTCTCATAAGGCTCAAATGAGATCATGCCTATGAGGTGCTTAGTAAACACTAAAGGGCTACACAAAACTGTAAGAAAAGCACCCCACACCCTCATTGTCTATCTCCTTCTAGGCTCAGCTACATAAAAACTCATGCAAAACACTGATGTCCACCTTCTGTGGGCCCATATTTGTGGGTTGTGCTCTTTCCTCTGTCTGGTTGACTGTCCATCTCTCTCCTGGTACCGCAAAGGGGTTCCTGGGAAACTTCTGCTTTCGACCTGCTATTGGCTCCCAGGGATCAGAGATGTTGGTCTAACTCCTGTGTGCTGTATCCACTGTAGTATCATGGTAGTGTCTTGATGGAGTTGTTGAAGGGAAAGCAGCAGCTCGTTTAAATGGATTTTGAATCTATTTTAGTTGTAGCTTTGTCACTATACACCAAGTAAGCCTAGATAAGCCATTTGACCACCAGGTCCCATTTTCCTCATCTGGAAATGACTACCCAATCCTGAAAGCCCCTCCAGCCCTTGATTGTCTAGGATCGTGATTATAGCTAACAGTGGTTTGGTTCCACACATTCGAAGTCTAACATCCATGCCCAAGCCATCTCCTTCACAGTTAGTAGGCTCTGACCCCCAGTGAATAGCAGTGTGATCACTGAATTTTGATTTCTCTCCACCCTCACCCTCAGTGCAGCTCCTTGCCTCTTTGCTTGATTATGAATGCAAGTGGTTTCCTGTACCTCTCACTTTCATCATAGTTTGGCTTCTAGCCTTCCCAGATGTGTGTAAGCCAACTGGTTCTAGAGCAGTCAGGGTGCAGGCCTCAGTAGTCACACAGCCCCCAGATCAATCCAAGAATATCTAGGCCTCGAATCTTATAAATTTGTTTGATACACACCAAGTCCCAGGCACACCATTTCCTGCCTTCCCCAGCTCTAGATCCATCCAGCAACCCAGTGATTAAAGCTGTGCAGTTGTGGGTTGGGGCTACCCAACTAGATACCATGCTATTTCCCTGGGCTTAAAGGAAAAAGACTGAGCTGGAAAGGGAACTCGCGCAGGGAAAAGCTTAGTTCCACTGCCTTTCACAACCATTTCTCCACAGCAGCCGTGGGAGAAATCTGCCTCCACTGGAAACTGGGGAAGAATCAGCCTGTACCAGTTACCAGTGGGAGGACAATGCTCCATTTCCACTTGATTTGTGGAAGACAGCAAGTCCTAATGGGCTACCAGCTCATTTCCTCTCTCTCTGCCCAGCTGACCTTGGCCAACATTGTAATTTTTTCCCAATACCACCATTCACACTTCATACCCACCATGTGAAGAGGGGTGAGGAACAGCAGAAGGAAAGATGATTACCTCTAGTATTTCCCCCAAATCTTACAGATTTATGAGGTCTTCAAGTGATGTTGACCTTGTGCCTCTCTTCTTTCCCTTCCTCAGGGTATGGCAGCTGGAGAGAACTGGCCAAGGCTCTAGCCAGCAGGAACATTCCAGCTGTGGATCCAAATCTTCAGTTCTACCATCCCCAGAGACGAGGCCTCCGGGTATGTGGCAGAGCCAGCCCATTTTCCCTGCCAGTGAATTAACATGGGACCTTGGCTGCCCCTGTCCTTATAGCCTTAAGGGAAACCTGCTTTTCTGAGGTAAGAGAGGCAGAGGAGAAAGAGTTCCTGGGATTCTTTCTGACCTCAGAGGATTTCCTAGCTGGGTGGGTAGAGATATGCCTCCTGTCCTCCTCAAAGCCTTCAGCACATAGTTCAAGATGCCCATGTCTACGCTCCAGGTATGTGGCCACCATCTCCAGCAGCAACAGGGGGCTTGAGGCAGGACCAGCATGTCCTGCCTTCTGCCAGCTTGAAGACTGGGCTGGTACTTTAGTTATAATTCCAGATCCTTACTTCTAAGAGTCAGAGGTGATGCGATAGACAGACATCCCTCCCCTGCAAATAGCTGGGGGACAGATTTGTAATGGACCCCTTTTCCTGTAGTGTTTCTTGGGTCAACAGTCCCTAGTGAGGACAGAGCAGCATTGGGTTTGGGGTGACGGGGAGGGAGGTTAGGGAAATTGTGATTCAATTTAGCCTAGAGCCCAGTGGTTGAGTCCAGAACAGATGTGGATCCTGGAGACTAGACCAGAACCAAAATGAACCTGTGGACTTGCACAGTAGGGAACAGTTGGGAGCTCCCACTTGTTAGGACAAATGAGGGAGACATCTGGGCAGAGTCCTGGGGGATACAGAGGAAGGAAGGCAAGGTCTTGCTTTCTGGAGAGCCTGATCTAATTAGAAAAAGTTTCTTTCCATATGGGAAGACTGAAAAAAAACGCAGGAAGTAAAAGAACCTCGGGAGATACATGGATGAAACTGTAAGGAGGTATATTCCTGAGGTATATAATGTGAATGATAAATGGAGTGTCCCTTAAGTGGATAAGCTTCCTGGGGCCAGGGCTGTGTCTCCTGACCTCTACTTCCCCAGGGGTGCTTTCGAGGGGCCCCAAATCCTGTTCTCACCCTAATATTCCCACCGAGTTCATTCTTCACTCTTCTGCCAGGACCAAGACTTTGAGCGAGGTGGGAGCAGTAACAGCAGCTACCTGCAGTGGAATAAAGCTGTCCCCTGGCTCTCCGAGGTAAGGGCTGTCCCTGTTTTTTGAGAGGGTTATAGCTTCTACAGATAATTCTGGAGGCCACAGAAAACTTTTTTCCTGTGGTTATTGTTAAAATTTTTTAGCTAATTTGGGGGAAAGAAGAGGGGAGTGGTTCTAGGCTGATTCGATTTTCTTGCTTTAGAGAAGAACTAACATTTGCTATGAGCCTACCATGTGCCAGGCTTTGTGTATCACCTCGTTTCAGCTTTAATACCCAGTAAAATAGTATCACTATCCTCTTTTTATAGGCAAGAAAAACAAGGCTCAGGGAAGCCATGATTTCCATGTCCCCGCCAATTCCCCATATTAAAGATAGGCTTTCCAAACTGTCTTTCTTGAACCATTAAGCCCCATAAGATATTCCTGGAAGAAAGGAGTTCATTGTTAAATAAGGTTTGAAAGCTATATATTGCATCCACTTCTTGGAAATACACATTAGCACATGAAAGTTTCTGAGAAGTTCTGCAATAATCTGTTTAACTTGGTTTAGCTCAGCATGTTCCAAACTCACTTGCCTCCTGAATTGCTTTTTCCCACGGAACAGCTATTAATAATTTATGAAACCAGTTTTTTAAGGAACATACACTATAAAAACAGTGTTTTAAGGAATATATGTTGTTTCAGAAAATTTTTACAGGAAGCAGTTAAGCGTGTGAATAAAAAAAAAGTTGTCATAACCATCATGATACCTTTTATTTATAAAGGATTTGAGATTTTTTCCTTTGGTCAAGAAACTGAAGCTCAGAGAGATTATTTAACATGCTTAAGATTACCTTGAGTAAATACTTATGCCAAGACTCCATGGTGCTTTGGTGTGAATATTGTAAATTTGGGTTTCATCTTTTACAACTTGTCCACATAGATTACTTTTCTGGGCTGGCTGGTACTGGCTAGCCCATTGTCTTTATCCATACTCATCACAAGTTAATCTCTTCAGCCTGGGTGATTTTATTTCCAATCTACCCACTTGCTGTGGGGCAGGAGTGAAAGAGGCAATATCATTCTAAATGTGACATTAGGAGTAGGTTATTCATCCTATGAAACTGCCTGTTTAAATCTCTGAGAGAGGATGGATTACAACACTGGTACACTTACACTAGGTGACATCATCAGGTAATTATGCCCCACCCCAATTACAGATAGTATTTTGAAAAGAAGGTGCATTAGAGACTGTTGGTCCAGTGATCCAACCTTGTCTCCTTTGAGCACAGTTTGGATCTTCCTTTTATTAATTATATATATATATTTATAATTTATTTATTTCAGAGAGGAAGGGAGAGGGAGAGAGAGATAGAAACATAAATGAGAGAGAATCATTGAGCCCGCAACCCAGGCATGTGCTTGACTGGGAATCAAGCCATGACCTCATGGGTCATAGGTCACTGCTCAACCACTGAGCCACCGTGGCCAGGCTGGATTTTTAAAAATATTTTATTCTTTTCAAATGTTTATTGACTACTATACTTCTTCTCTTTGGATTGTATATTTGTATCTCTTGCCCATTTTTCATGGGGTGATTTTCTGTCCATAAATTAGCAAAATAAGTCATAAATTACATAAAGTATTTATACATTAGTTTACCAATTAGTGATATAAACTACTTGTCCCGTGCTATTAATGTCAGTTTATTTATAGTGACAAGAATATTTTTCTTTTCTTTTTGGATCATTTTTATTCTTTTCTTAAAAACAATTTTATTTATAATGTCAGATATTTTGTTTGTAATCTATTCTTTTTCTTTATTTTAGAGAGAGAGGAGAGAAGAGGGATAGGGAAATAAACAAATTGATGAGAGAGAAACATCGATCAGCTATCTTCTGCACACCCCCTACCAGGGATTAAACCACAACCCAGGCATGATCAAACACGTGACTTCTTGGTTTATGGGTTGATGATCAACCATTGAGCCACATGGGCCAGGCTGGATAATTTTTCTTGATCAACTTATTATTTTGAAAAATTGTAATTACTCATTAGCTGGTGTGGCTCAGTGGTGGAAGGTCAACCTGTGAACCAGGAGGTCACTGGCTTGATTCTTGGTCAGAGCACATGACAGAGTTGCGGACTCAGATCCCCAGTGGGGGGTGTGCAAGAGGCAGCCAGTCAGTGATTCTCTCTTGCTGATGTTTCTGTCTCTCCCTCTTCCTTCCTTTCTGAAATTAATACATATATATTTTAAAAAAAGAAAGATTATAACTACATAACATTCTGCATTTATTAATCATTAACATTTCCATTTTTTTGCCCATCAAGAATAGAGATATGCAGGGTGTCCCCAAAAAATGTATATATGCTCACACAACTGATAGCTTAATTTTGAAAATGAAATGTATTTTAATAAACACTGCCTTTATAATTATTCAAAGTGTGTGTATACATTTTTTGGGACACCCTACATATAAAATGGCAATAGTGAACAATAATAAATAGTGATTAATATAAAATTAACTTTTTAAAGAATAATTGATCTTTTAGTAAGAGTATATGGTCTGCCGAAGCCGGTTTGGCTCAGTGGTAGAGCGTCGGTCTGCGGACTGAAAGGTCCCAGGTTCGATTCCGGTCAAGGGCATGCACCTTAGTTGCGGGCACATCCCCCGTAGGGGGTGTGCAAGAGGCAACTGGTCAATGTTTCTCTCTCATCGATGTTTCTAGCTCTCTATCTCTTTCCCTTTCTCTCTGTTAAAAATCAATAAAATATATTTTTAAAAAAAAGAGTATATGGCCTTTTGGTGGTAGATACCTGATTTTCTTTTTTTTTTAATACTCACCCAAAGGTATGTTTTTATTTATTTTAGGGAGAGAAGAAGTGAGAGAGAGAGAGAGAGAGAGAGAGAGAGAGAGAGAGAGAAGTTAGTGAGAAATAGCTATCGATAGCCTCCTGTATGCACCCTGATGGAGGGGATTAAATCCACAGTCTAGGTATGTGCTCTGACAAGAAATCAAACCTACAATCTTTTGATGTACAGGACAATGCTCCAACCAGTTGAGCCACCTGGCCATGGCTGACTTTGTGTTTTTGGTTTTTGTTTTTGTTTTTTTATAATATGGAAAGTAGCTTACAAAATCCCCATTACAGTCTGCAGGGATATTTGAGGAGTCATTGATCCAATCTTCTTATTTTACTAACAAGGAAAATAAAGGCCTGAAAGGTTAAATTACTAACATATGAAGGCACATATCTTCCAATTCTCTTCCAGCCCATCAAAGGGATCTCTTTCTTCCCATCCCCTTACCTGTCTCCTGTCTTGACTTATACTTTCAGCAATGAGTGCTCAGGTTAATGATATGTCATTTATTGAACAAGTACTAGTTGCCAGGAGCTGTTAGGTCATGAGAGGGGTTCACTCACTCACTCACTCACTCACTCACTCACTCAAGGTGGCATAGCTAGTACATAGCCCTGCTCTGGTGGGAGCAAGGAAGACTATAAGAAGGCTGACAGTCTCTTTGACTGTCTCCCTGTGCCAGACATTGGCCACTCACTATCTGAGGCCAGGAGCCACTCTTGAAAGCAGACAGTCTTGGACATCCTACTTGGTGTGTCAGAGAAAGGCCATCAGAATAGATGGCCAGGGAGGCTGGCCTTCATGGGGTAACTGCCCTCAAAAATTTATTCCTGTCAACCCAAATCAAAAATACTAATTAGGAAACCCACTTATTAAACCTCAATGCCAGTTTATTCATTTACCAGTCAATATATGGGTCCTTTGACTGAAACACTGTCTGCTATTCAAGATACTCCCTCTGGAAAACCAAGAGAGTTATAAGGAAGAAATCTGGTGAACACAAAATCAGATCAAAGCAAGTCCAAATGTTTGTGGGTCATGTCTTGTGGGCTTTGCTGAGGCAGCATCTCTTAGGAGAGGGTTGGGATGTAGATTCCTTCTCAGGCTCCCCTTTTTGGGGTATGTGGTGGTGGTTTATATACCATACCAAAGGCCCAGTGCACGAATTCGTGCATGGGTGGGGCCTGGCTGGCCTGCCCTGATTGGGGCGGTCCGGCCATGTGGCCAGGGGGAGGGCCGTTGGCGGGCCAGCCCCATCCCCTGGTCGCACTCCTGGTTGAACTCCCGGTTGAACTCCTGGTCGAGGGGACAATTTGTATATCAGCCTTTTATTGTATAGGATAATTCACCCATTTAAAAACACCAAGCTACTTTCTGTCTCTCTAGAGTTGCCTGTTCTGGACATTTCATGTAAATGGAATCATATAATCTGTGGCTATTTGTACCTGACTTCTTTAATTTCACATTTTTAAGGCTCATCATGGTGCAGCATGTATCAGTACTTCTATTTCTTCTTATTGCTGAATGATATTCTATGGGTGGATGTACCACACTTTATGAATCTATTCCTTGATACATGGATATTTGGGTTGTTTCTGCTTTTTGGTTTTCATGACTAATGCTGCTGTGAATGTTTGCATACAAGCTTTTGTGTGGATCAGACTTTCCTGTTTTCAGCGCCCAGAAACACCGTCATCGTACCAAGTGATTCAAGTGGCATCTCCATTTTTTTACGAATCATCTACTCAGGTGGAGAATCTTATTAGGATTTCACCAAAAGGGCCTTTGGTCCTTTCCCCAAAATCCAGAGCTATCTCTTACTTTCATGGAGTTTGGAGCTCTTAATTTCTAGGCAGAGTTTCCTCAAAGGACAGGTATAAACAGGGAATCAAGAGTAGCTTGAGTAGAAACTTGGAAACAGGAGTTGGTATGTAGGAACCAGTGACTTCGTTGTCCTGCTCTGTTGGGGTCATGTGGTCCCACCTCTGTGCATCTCCTGGGCAAGGCCTCATTGCCCGTGGGGTGACCCAGAAGCCAGCCATGCTGGTTATGCGAGTATGATTCTGACTGAGCAGCAAGGTGGCCAGTGGAAGGCCAGTAAGTGAGGCTTACATCCTGTGATGGGCGTCTGACCTCTCCTGGAGGTAGAGCTGATGTTCCTGCCTTCCTGCCCTCTGCACTCCACACTTCTGCATACCACACCTTTTTATCTTTAACTGGTAGAAAGCCGTCACTTAGTGCTTATAGAATAAATGAGGAAATGTGGTTCTGGGCTTAACTTCTCCAGAATAACTGAGATATGCAGGGAACACAGAAGAGGGAAGAGGCCTCTGGGAGAAGGATTTGGGAAGAGCCTTGAAAGATGAGCTGGAGTTTGCAGGTCGGAGGGAAGGAAAGGGCCTTCCAATCAGGAAATAGTGTTTGGGAGGCACAGAGAGGTAAAGGAGTTGGCTGTGGGTGGAGTGTGGATGTGTGACAGGGAGTGGTGTGAGGTGAGGCTGGGAAAGTAGATCAGTCGTGCCAGGATGAGGTTTGTTCTGAAGCCTTCTGGGAACATCCAGAGCAGCAATGCTGCAGGCAGGGGGAAGAATGATGGAGGGGAAGAGCTTCGATCAGTTGGAGGCTCTGCTGCAGGCCTGGCAAGCCTAGTGAGGCCTGGTAGAGGCAGCACCGTGGGGGTGGAACAGTGGACTCTCCTGTGGAAGGACCCATCAGGCTGGCCTCCCCCCTTTCCTCCCACACTCCAAGACACCCTCCCCACTTCCACAGGATAATTGCTGTGTGTCCTTAGGGAGTCAGTTTACCTCTGTGGGCATCAATATTCTCACCTCTAAAATGAGATGCTTCCAAGAGATACTTCCTCCATTACTTGTAGCTGGGAAGTCCCGTATCCTTCACTGGCTGTGGATGTGCTCTGGCAATGGGAGTACCCATGGCCCTTCCCTGGTCTCAGCCACTGCCGCCATCAACAGTGGGAAGTGGGCAAATGGCAGTGCTGATGAGCTGGAGGGACACAAATCCTGGTGGGGTTGCAATGCTGAGCCTGGGGAAGAAGGTGGTGCCCGCTGGTCCCTAAGAGACTCCCCACCTACGTCCTGAGGGTGGGTGAAGCACGGTTTGAGGGCTAGCTTAATGCCTAGTGAGGCCTAGACCTCCTAGGAGATGGAGGCTCTCTTTCTGCACTCACTCCCGCCTGCCTGTGGTTTCCTGCAGCGCCTCAGGCGAGGCCATGAGAGGGCGGTGGGAGGCGGCAAGCCCTGATCTTCTCTCCTTCCCTCCTTTCCCTGCCCAGACCCACTGTGGCCTCTGGCCTCCCGGCTGAACACAGAGACTTCTCTAGCGGCGTGCCCGGCCTCTGCATCTTGTTGTGGATCTGAGCACACTGCCCTGAAAGTCCTAGGAAGGGGCAGTGAAGAGGCCATTGGCAGAAGACGCCAGTCTTGTAAATGGGACTTAAGGAATTTCTCCAGAAGGAGCACAATGTACCCATTCTTTCCTTCCAAGAAGCCTGAACCTGCCCCTCCCCCCACCCACCTACCCAGCCCACATTCTCTCTACCACCCATCCTAGCCCCCCACTCATAGTCTCTGGAGTGATGGCTGCTTCCCAAGATCCCACATTCCTAGCGCCCACCAGGCCAGCACACCCAGGAAATGCCAAGCGGCCGAGGGGATGGGGAATGAGGGGCTCTCCTTGGTCGTTTCTGGATCCAGCTGTGAGCTAGTGAGCTGGCGCCTGTGCCCACCCCACCAGCCACATTCCTGCTGAGGGGTTCTCCCCCATCCCAGGTTCTCGCCCCTCCCATCTCCCCCTCCAGATCTCTTGCTGGAGACTTTATGTCACTTCCTTCGATCTGGGCTTCCAGTCTGGGGGGGCCCTTCCTGTTTTCCTTAGGGCAGCTTAGCTTTTGATAACTACAGGGCCAGCATGGGGAGGGCAGGGCAGGGTCTGTTTGTGTAGAGTAATTGAGGTCCCACCTCCCACAACCTGGAGATTAAGCTCTGGGGGAGGGGAGGAGAAAAGAGCTGAGGTGGGGTAATCTGAAACTCTTTGTCAGGATAAATTGGGACAATATCCCCATGCTCCCCCACTCCTCCCCACCAAGCTCCAGGCCTCCAACCACTCTGAGTACTTGCTGCCGCCTTAGTCCTTTCATTTGAAGGGGCCTCTGCTCCAGGCCTTCATGCCCTGTCCCGAGGAGGAGAGAGAACACGTCCTCTGCTCCCGGCTTCCCAGGAGCCTTCCCAGGACTGCCTGGACCGGGCACCTGGTTCGTTATCAGGTGAGGCCTGGGCCGAGAGGCTTTGCGCTCCTGAGAGCGGAGGGAGGCCTGGTCTGCGGGTGAGTCCCCAGAAACCTCCCACAAGGGGAGCCCCAAGCATGGAGACCACTGGGTAGATAAGATTTCACCCGCAGACAGCTGTGGAGCTCTCCTCTCGCTGGGCATGAGGGGAAGGGGAGAGGAGGGAGCAAGTCATCCGCTGAAACCCCAGCTTGGCACTTCCTTCCAGTTCCCGCTGTCATTTCTACCATCCTGTGGTGGCTGTTCCTCCCCAGCGCCTGGGGAATGCAAACCAGCCTCCTTCCTGCGTGGAAAGAGCTGGGAGTGAGTGTGTGTGTGTGTGTGTGTGTGTGTGTACACATGTACATTTGCACATATGCATGACAAGAAAAACAGACCCAAGATGAAGTTCCTGAAAGAAGCCCAGGGTGCTAAGGATGGGAATGGGACTGAACTGGGCCATGACCTTCAACAGTGAGAGGAACACTTGTGCTGGGGCTGCGGTGGCCCGTGCCTCTTCAAGTCCTGGGCCGCAGGGGCGGGTTTGGGTGTGCTCCCTCTCACCTGCTTCTCCGCCCGTACAGTTCCGGGGCCGCGCCAACCTGCATGTGTTTGAAGACTGGTGTGGCAGCTCCATCCAGCAGCTCAGGAGAAACCTGCACTTCCCTCTGTACCCCCATGTGAGTGCTGCGGGCCCCCCTCTCCTTTGTTCTCCACACCATCTTCTCTTCCTCTGCCTACTTCTGTCTCTTATTCTCCCCCATCCCCAATCTTCTATCTTCTTCATCTTTCTTTCTTTTTTTTTTCTTCTGGTTTGCTTTCTTTCCTTTATTTTGTGAGCCCTTCTTTCCTCTCTGCAGAGTATCCCTCCTTCCTGGTCTTCCCACCAGGCCTGACTGGACCAGTCTCCACTCCCTCTCCTGGGTAACAGTGTCCCTCCCCTCTCTTGGCATAGATCCGCACAACTCTGAGGAAGCTGGCCGTGTCTCCCAAATGGACCAACTATGGCCTCCGCATCTTCGGCTACCTGCACCCCTTCACCGATGGTGAGGCCAGCCCCAACATCCCACCTTCTTCTTCCTGCTCCGGAGTTCTTTAGGGAGTCCAGAGAACATGAGCCTGTGGCTGCGAAATAAGTCTGCCCTGGGGCCCTGTTAGTATATCTTAGAGGAGAAATTGAGGCCAGGTGCGGTCTCATCCAGTCCACTCCCACCCGCAGGCTGGTTTGCACTCCTTGACTTGCAGAGTCTGGAAATAGCTCACCTCTCTGTCTAGTCTTTCCACCTACACAGTGTCTCCCAGGGTGGAGAAACCCACTCCACACCAAGCCCCCAAGAGAATGTAATTAACACACGTAACACAGGCCTTCAGCCCTGACACTAATGTTCTTCCTCTCACCTGGACTCTCCCCCACTGCCCAGGGCCAATCCAGTTTGCCATTGCTGCAGACGACAACGCGGAATTCTGGCTGAGCCAGGACGACCAGGTGTCAGGTCTTCAGCTACTGGCCAGTGTGGGCAAGGTAGGGTCAGCTCAGCCCATCTCCCTTGGGCCCAGGTGCCAGGCATTGAAGGGGCCCCGGCCACCATCAGTAGACTCTCATGACCACTAGTGTCTCTGGTGTGATTGCCAGGGGAAAAGGTGGGAACAAGAAGCACCCTCACCCCCTCCCATTTTACCTCGTGATAAACAGGGGTGTGGGGAAGAGGAAGGAGTCAGTCTGAGGCTGGGAAAAGACCCCAGGAAGATTAATCTTTGGGCTGGGCCTGGGCCACATACATCTGTGATAAGAACTCACCCCAGGGGATGGGTGCTGTGGCCCCCTGGGGAGGGTGGAGGTGCTTCTTACATGGGCCACTTGGTCCCTCCCTTAACTCCCTTCTGTTTCCTCTCCCATCATCATTCATCACTTTCTGTGCTCGCTCTCTCTCTCTCTCTCTCAACTTTTTTCCTCCTTATTCCTTTCTTTTTCTTCACTCACCACCTCTCATCCTTCATATTTCCCCCTTTCCTCCTTCTTTTACTCTCTCTCTTCACACTTGTAGGCTGGAAAGGAGTGGACTGCCCCTGGAGAATTTGGGAAATTTCAGAGTCAAATTTCCAAGCCAGTGAGGTGAGTGTGGAGTGTCAGGACACGCACAAGAGCACCAAAGAAACCCAGCCTCCCTCAAGTGCTGAGGCCAAATCCAAGTCATAGAGCCCCGCCATCCTTCCTTCAGCCTGCCCCCTCCACTCTCCCGCCGTCCCTATTCACAGGGCTCAGTGTTCTGGGCACCCATGCATTTTGGTAAATGAAGTCTTTGATTTATTAGATTCAATAGAAATCATCTGGCTCATCATCCCTCATTTTACAGATGAACAAACTGAGGCCCAGAGCGGGGCTATGACTTAATGAAGGTCTCCCAGCTATTTGGTGACACTCAGGACTGGAAAACAAAAATAGGCCTCCCTTCTCCCAGTCCTGGCCTTTCACATGTTCTCTGTACCCAGAGATGTCCACAGCCATGCAGCCCGAGCACCTGCTGCTCCGCCTGTGCAATGTGAAGGTCCTAGCCGCAGCCACCCCTTGCTAAACTGGAGGGAAACAAGGGCCCTTCCTGCTGATGGTGGCTGGAGTCACTTGAACATGCTGTAAGGGGGACTTAGCCCGACGTCAGAGCACCACCTGGTGGTTGGGACATACACAAGCAAGAACATGCATTGGCTTGATGGTAATAATGAGCTTGCAAAGAGCACTGCTCTGTGCCAGCCTCTGTGATGCAATTCAGCATAACAGCTAACGACATGGGCTCTGAAACAAGGCTGCCGGTCCAGACCCCACTCCACCACATTACCTCGGGGCTTTGGAAAACGGCCCAAGATTCTGTACCTCAGTGTTCTCATCTACGAGAGGGATTAAGAGGCTTAATATATACAAAGCTCTTAGAACAGTGCCTAGCCCACAGTGACAACTCTATAAGGGTTAATTATGATATATTTTTTATTCTCCCTGTTGTCCTGTGAAGTAAGTACTATTATCATTGCCATCTTCCAGAAGAGAAAACGGGTTACACTGTTCAGAAGTGATGGAATGGGGACTCTAACCAGGTGGTTAAATGACGAGGGAGTTTGTAGGTTAAATGACGAGGGCGCAGTGGAAGAGTGGGGCAGAGGGGTGACCACAGGGGCTGGAGACAGCCTTCCCTTGCTCTGCTCTCTCCGGCAGCCTGTCAGCCTCCCGCAGATACTACTTTGAAGTGCTACACAAGCAGAATGACGAGGGCACCGACCACGTGGAAGTCGCAGTGAGTGTTCCTGCCTCTCCTAGCTCAGCTCTTAGCCCCTCCTCCTCCCTCGTCCCTTGGACCCTTTCTGAAATCTAGCATCTGCCAACCTCCCACATCCATCCTCTCTCCTCTTCTAGTGGCGACGGAATGACCCTGGAGCCAAGTTCTCCATCATTGACTCCTCTTCCCTGTCCCTCTTCACAAGTGAGTGGGCTCTGCCCCTAGCCTGAGATGGAGGCCAGGGGTGCCCCATGGAGGCTCAGCCCATCTGGGAAACTGAGAAGGGGGTGGGGTGTGGAGGTTAAAGCTCAAGGTGCTTGGAAGGAACATGGATGTGAAGGGATAGGAACAGAACCTAAGCTCAGAGGTCCTAACTCTCCGGGGTCAGGGACCCTTTTGAGAACCCGATGGAAGCTCCGAGTCTTCGTGCACCCACAAACAATATTGTGTGTATAATTTCAAGGGATCCAGAGACCACAGGGCTCACTCCATATGAAAAACCTGAGTGAAGCTAATCTCCTGTGTCACAGATGAGGCAACCATGGTTCTTTCCAAGCCATGGCAGAGCAGAGGAAACTGTTCTCACTGCTTTAAAATTCTCAGTAAACGAACTCTTCCATTGTATTCTTCATTGCTTATGTTGTTCTTAGCAAGACTCTCATCCGGAGTCCCACTGGGAAGTTGCCACCTGGCAGATGGGGCCGTAAGGGCCCTGGGTGTAGGAAGAGCAGACAGGGCTCAAACCTTAAAGGAGGAAGGAAGGCAGGTGTTGGAAGGGGACTAGGGGGAGGTGTGTGTGTGAGAAGTGGGGTGGCAGAATGGGAGAAAAGGGAAGGTCTGGGTGGGGTCCCGGGAGAGGGTGGCACTGTGGAATGGTGAGTGGAAGGAGATTGCCGGTGACTAAAGCAAGAGGCCACAAAGTCAAAGCAGAGGGACAGGTTGTGTGTTGCTGGGTTGCTGCAAGAGGAAGAGGAGAGAATTGGAATCCGTAGATTCGGTGTGAATCAAGAAGAAAGAGACCCTAGCAAAGTTTAGGTAAGAAACTAGTAAGATGGACCAGATGTAATTAGCCTTGGGTGTAGGAGAGCCCTAGTTGGGGCTGAAGACAAATGAACCCAAGGGGCAGAGAACAGAGACAGGCAACCAGCCCTCAGGTGAGGAGCAGAGGTGCTGGGAACGCTAGGGGGCACCCTGCTCACGATAGGCATTGCTGATCTGTTGGAGCGGCAGTGTAGCCTGCAGGCCGAGACTAGACTGCCTAGGTTCAAACTGCCTCTTATCAGTTGTGTGATCTTAGGCAAATGACTTAAGAGTCTCTGCCATAGTTCTTTTTCTGTAAAATAGTAATAGTAATAATCATACATGTCGTGGTATTTATGAAGATTAAATGAGTTATTTGGTTTGTTTTTTAATATATTTTTATTGATTTCAGAGAGGAAGGGAGAGGGAAAGAGAGAGAGAGAGAGAGAAACATTGATGATGAGAGAGATCATTGGTCAGTTGCCTACTGCATGCCCCACACTGGGGATCAAGCCCACAACCCAGGCATGTGCCCAAACCCGGAATCAAACTGTGACCTCTTGGTTCATAGGTTGATACTCAACCACTGAGCCACGCAGGCTGGGCTAAATGGGTTATTTGTAAGTTGCTTAGAATATGCCTGGCTTATTATTTAGAGAGTACTGTATATGTGTTTTGTAAACATACTTACAAAATGACAAGTTCCTAGCAGATAGCAGTAAGACATTTTGAGGAAGATGTGTTCTTTTCCAATTCACACAAAAATTGTGGTGTGTGCTAGTCATGGGGCCAGTGGAGGGAGTCAAAGGGAGATAAAGAGCTGAAACCACATGTTATTGGGGGGTGGGGGGGAGCAGGGCTAGAGGGAAGAGGGTCGAACACATCCTGTACTGCCTCTGCGGTGTACAGGAGCCTTGGCTGAGCCTCTTCCCGGCCTCTCAAAGAGACAGGGCCTGGGTTCTGGGCTGGGTTTGCTCCAGGGCTCACAGCTGCCCTCTTTTCTTTCCTCCCTGGCCCAGACGAGACGTTCCTAAGGATGGATGAGGTGGGCCACATCCCACAGACAGCAGCCAGCCATGCAGGCTCCCCAGACTCTCGTCCCACAGATGAGCAGCCCCCCGCTGACATGCTTCGGCCTGACCCCCGGGACACCCTCTATCGAGGTGAGGCCTCGGCTGCACACTTATCACCCAGTCTGCGGACCTATGTGGCCAGGTCCATGGTGTGGGTGGAGACTCGGGAGACCTGTCAGTTCTACCAGTGTCCCCAAACATGCCCACAGGAAAGTACAAAAACATACATGTACAACTTCACTATAGAGCAAAACATTTGTGTAATTACTGCTAGAAGTTCCCTGGGTGTCCCTCTGCAATCACAAACCCCTTCGTTTCTCACTGGATTTCGGCTCTTGTTACCCAGTGAGAGAAATGTGTTCCCACTAAGCTGTCAGAGTCTTAAACTCTTGGGAGGGTGTACATTTTAAAAGATGACAAAGTCATGTCCTGCATCCCCCTGCTTCTCAAAGGAAATTTTGTTATTGCACTGTACTCAGAAGCCTCTAAACCTTTATTGAGGCCAGCCCTGTACAGCGATCCCAACGAGCTACTGTGACTTGAACTAGGGAGTCTGAGTCCTCTGCTGCCAAGGGGCTGCGTGAATGCCCCCGCCCCAGAGGAGTGGTGCCAGCCCTGGCCTGGCAACCTCAGCCAATGGCCATGGACTCTGACCTCAGCTGCCTCCAGTGAATACAAAGGGGCTGCTCAGGGCAGAGGACCTCAGCCCTCCGCCAGGAGCCTTTGTGGCTCTCCGCCAGCCCCTGTTTCAGGCTCCCACTCCCCATCCTCATCTCTGTCCCTAAATGTCCTCAGTGCCTCTGATCTCCAAGTCTCATCTCCGCCACGTCCTGCCTGATTGTCCCTACAAACCCAGCTACCTGGTGGATGGGCTCCCCCTGCAGCGCTACCAGGGCCTCCGGTTTGTAAGTCTGGGGCCGGGACAGTGGGGGGCAGGAGTGAGAGAGGGCTTGCTGCCTATGGCTGAGATTGGGGGGTTGCTAAGCTGACTTTGGTCTCCTTCCCACGTCGCATACCAGTGGACAGGATGTCCTCCCAGGTCCCCGGGCTGGGAGAAGTAGCATTCCAAGTTGCTTCTGGCCTAGACTCCCCTGCAAAGCCTGGGAGTGGAGTTCTGCCTTAGAGAATCCCATACACCAGTTCTGCCACAGTGATGATGTGAGATGGGGTGGGGTGGCATGAGGCTCCTTACACTCTCTTCTCCAAGGGATATACAACCCTGCCCTGTCTTGGTCAGTCCTACCAGCCAGTCGGCCAGCAGTACCTATTAAACTCATAGATAAGGCACTGGAGAAATGAGCTATAGAGAGGAATGAGAGAGAATTTCCATTGTGGAAACTGGAGAGGCAGAAGAACAGAGAGAGTGCTGAAGGCAGCAGAGAATGACCAGGCCTCAGAGGATGGTGGGCTGGCACTGATTGCCTTGAGCTATGTTTAAGGGGGGCAAAAAACAGTGAAGTAAATAACAAAAGAGGTTGTTCCAGGATGGTGGGACATTGTAGGTAAAGGTGTAGAGGTTGCAGGAGAGGATAAGCTGACAGGAGGAGGAGGGAGGATCTGCAGCTGAGGGAATGAGCTGGGTCAGGAGATGAGGGATGTGTGTACTGGAGAACTAGCTGGTAGGGGTTATTCATATTAGGTCTAGAGAGGAGGCATAGAGTGGAGTGGGCCCTTGCCAGTGCGGCTCAATTGGTTGGAGTGTTGTCCCATACATCAAAGGGTTGCAGGTTTGATCCATGGTCGGACATGTACTGAAGACAAGTTGATGTTTTCTCTTACATTGATCTCTCTCCTCTCTCTCTAAAATCAATAAACATATCCTCAGGTGAGGATTTAAAAAGAGAGAGAGTGGAGTGGAATCCTGGTCTGCATGAACAGATCTTGCATTCAGAGCTCAGAGCAGCCCTTCTCTCCCCACCAGGGCAGGTTCCTAGGAGAGGAAGAAGGGAGGAAGGGAGGAGGCAGGCTCAACTCTGGTTGGCTGATTTCTTACTAGGATCCCACCTTCTTTTGCTGCTTCTTTCTCTACCTCCAGGTTCATCTGTCCTTTGTTTACCCCAATGATTACACTCGCCTGAGCCACATGGAAACCTATAACAAATGCTTCTACCAAGAAAGCACATTCTACCAGGACAGGTGAGCAACACTGAACGAGGCAAGGAGGTGCTCTGCAGGAGCCAGGGGAGCTGCCTGGACCACAGGAGCCTTGGCCCTTCCGAGGCACTTCCCATACTCACAGACCCCGCCCCTCACTTGCTCACCTAGCCTCCCTCCTCTGCTCGGTCCGGGACTTGACTTCAGTCTGCTGCTGGGACTTCCAGCAGAGCCTCATGCTCTGCCTGCAGGGCACCGGTGCAGCCCGCTTTTCCCTTCCTCCTACAGGTTCAGTTTCCAGGAGTACATCAAGTTTGACCAGCCTGAGAAGCAGGGGCCGGAGCAGCCAGGTACAGAGTGAGAGCTGGGGTTTCCAGGTCAGGCTGGGAGGGGTGACCATGGTCTGCTTCTAAGAGAAGTTCAGACTGTGCTAGCCCTGCACCTGGGGAGCTTAAAATTCAAACCAGTCCAGCCAATATGGCTCAGTGGTTGAGCATTGGCCTATCAACCAGGAGTTCACGGTTCAATTCCCATTCAGGGCACATGCCTGGCTTGTGGGCTTGATCCTCAGTGGGGATGAGGGGGAGGTAGTTGATCAGTGATTCTCTTTCATCATTGATGTTTCTATTTCTCCCCCTTTCCCTTCCCTCTGAAATCAATTTAAAATTTTTTTAAAAAATCCAAACCACATGGCCACTCCTCACACACCCAAGGGCTCCGAGCTTTTCTATTTCCAGGCACATGTTCTATAGGAACATGACTGTTGTTGACAGCGGGCTGGGTCAGTGGAAGGTCCCGAGCCCTGGAGATCACGTGGGCTGCCCCAGGAAGTGCTGTCCCCAGCACGTCATTTGAGAAGTTCTACAGAGAAGCGGTATCTCCCTGTGGCCTTTATTCTTGAGGCATTGGGGCCTGGCTGGGATCCTAGTTTGTTTGTTGGGATCCTCCATGTGCCAGGCACCTGCTGGGCACTTTGTGTACTTTATATCTCTCTGTCTTCACAAAAACCCCTGTGGAAGATGGGTCATTATTCCCTTTATGCAAATGGAGACACTGGGTTACTGATGGGAGTGACTTGCCCCAGATCTCACAGTAAGTGGCAGAGCCAGATGCCATCCCTGTCTGAAACCTCTCACAGTATCACACATAATCACCGGGTATTTGTATGTCTTGGGAAAAGCTTGCAAACTCTGACGTGAGGAATGGTTGTTATTAATGACAGGTTTTGAGGAAGGCCTTCTGGAAGAGTCCCAGTATGGAGAGGCAGCGGAGGAGACACCTGTTTCCACTGAGCCAGAGGGAAAACAAGTGCCTACCTCTACCCCTGGGCAGGATATCACTGACTACCACCTCCGAAGCCTGCGGAAACTCCTGGCCCGGCCCCAGGAGGGGCTGCCTGCCCCCTCTTCCAAGCAGAACTCTGTAACCCCCTTCCCAGTGAAGACCAGTAACACCCCAGGCCAGCAAGCAGAGAAGAGGGAGAGAAAACCCAGACCTGAGCCCAGCCCAAACCCACCTCAGTCTGCCAAGTGGCCTGGGCACCTGGTGGGGAACCTACCTCAAGTCAAAAGGCCCAGGCCCACTGGGGACAGCCCTAGGAAGACACTAGGGCAGTCCCAGTGGCTTAATCAAGTTGAGTCATACATCGCAGAGCAGAGGAGGGGTGACAGGATGGAGCCTCCGGCCCCGAGGAGGGGTTGGCCTGGGGAGGAGAAGGTGGTAGCAGCTGCAGGCCAGGACGGGCAGGTGGAGGAAGAGGAAGAGGGTGAAGAAGAGGAAGAGGAAGAAGACGTGAGTGAGGTGTTTGAATACGTGCCCATGTTTGACCCAGTGGTAAACTGGGACCAGACCTTCAGTGCACAGAACTTCGACTTACAAGCCTTGCGAACTGACTGGATTGATCTGAGCTGTAACACGTCTGGCAACCTGCTGCTTCCAGAGCAGGAGGCTCTCGAGATCACACGGGTCTTCATGAAGAAGCTCAACCAGAGGAGCCGGGGGTAAGGTAAAGGGCTCTCCTGGGCCGGGCTGAGGCATGCTGGCCTTGGGGCAGGGGCTTGTGGCTGTAGTGGGTTCCCTTGTGGCAGACTCCTGGGAAGGACAAGTGCCTGGAGTCCCTGCCCCTGGAGGTGACCTGGATCAGGCAGGTCTTCGTCCCACCCTCAAGCAAGTTCTGAAATGCCTTGGTTCCCAGTCTAAAAGCACTGGGAAGACCTGGCAAATGTGGTCCCCTCTCTCAGGGAAGGAGCCAGTAAAAAGACATATCAGGCAAAAGAGAGGCTAAAAGAGACTGATAGGAACAAACTCCAGATGTGGACTAGAAGGGCTAGGGCAGAAGATATGGCTGAGTGCTTTGTTGTTTCATTTGTTTAACCAATCAACATTTTTTCAATTAAGATGAAATTCCCACACCATTTAAGAGTATATGATTCAGTAGGTTTTTAAATATATTCATATATTGTGTGACTCTCACCATTTTCTGATTCCAGAACATTTCTATCACTTTAAAAAAAATGTTTTTATTGATTTTAAAGAGAGAGGAAGAGAGAGAGATAGATAAAAACATTGATGAAAGGGAAACATCAATTGTATGCCTCCTGCATGCCTCCTACTGGAGGTTGAGCCTGCAATCCCGGCATGTGCCTGATTGGGAATTGAATTGGTAACCTCTTGGGTCGCTGCTTAACCACTGAGCCCCACCAGCTGGGCCATTTCTATCACTTTTTAAAGGAACCCTGTTGCTAATAGTGGTTAATTCCCATTCCTCCCTCCTCCTAGTCTCTACTTTCTATCACTATAGATTTACCTATTCTAGACATTTTACATAAATGCAGTTATATAATATGTGGCCTTTTATGTCTGTCTTCTTACACTTAGCAAAATGCTTTCCAGGCTCATCTATGTAAAAAGTATTGCCTATTTCTGTCCTTTATATTGCTGTATAATATTCCTTTGTATGGATATACCACATAATGTGTATCCATTCATCACTTAATTGACTTTTAGGTTGTTTCCACTTTTTGGCTATTATGAATACCAGGCTACTCAGAACATTCGTGTACTAAATTTTGTGTGATCATGTTTTCAGTTCTCTTGTGTATACACCTAGGAGTAGAATTGCTGGGTCATATGGTAGGTAACTCTATGTTTAATATTTTGGGGACCTGCCAATCTCTTTTCCAAATCAGCTGCACCATTTTACATTCCCATCAGCAGTGTATGAAGGTTCCAATTTCTCTACATTCTTGCCAACAGTTGTTATTTTCTTTTTTTAAATAACCATCCTAATGGGTGTGAAGTGGTATCACATTGTGGCTTTGACTTACATTTCCCTAGTGACTAATGATATTGAGCCAACCAGTGACCATTCGCCTAATTATGTATTATGTACTGTTGTTTGAACAGAGTATTTTATTAATTAGAGTCAATTTCTGAAGAAAACTCATTCACCTTATATACCATCTCAGAGCTATAAAAGAGTTTAGAGATCATCACAACTTCATAGGTGCATTTCTAAAGATGGAGGCACAAAACAACCAAAACAAATAAAAGATAAAAGTGGAGGCAGGGAATACCAGAATGGTTAAAAGCATCTTGCATAAGCAACTTAGCCAATGGCAAAGCGAGGACAAATACCAGAGTTTCTTGACAGTTGGCCTTGCAGGCTTCCACCACAGCATGCTGCCCCACAGTGGGGGAGAGAATTACTCAAGCCCCACCCTTGTTGCCACAGGAGATACCAGCTGCGGCGCATTGTGAATGTGGAGAAGCGGCAAGACCAGCTGCGTGGGGGTCGCTACCTCCTGGAGCTTGAGCTGCTGGAGCAAGGCCAGCGCGTGGTGCGGCTCTCTGAGTACGTGTCTGCGCGAGGCTGGCAGGGCATCGATCCAGCTGGTGGGGAAGAGGCCGAGGCCCGGAACCTGCAGGGCCTGGTGTGGGGCCCACACAACCGCCAGAGACGTGTCTTGAATGTCCGGGCCCCAGAGCCCAAGCTGTGCTGGCCCCAGGGCTTCTCCTGGAATCACCGAGCAGTGGTCCACTTCATCGTGCCTGGTGAGCCTCCAGCCGAGCCCGGGCACTGTCAGCGGAGCAGGGACACTAATAGAATCATGAGCACCAGGTCTCTGCTCACTGACTCCATCTCACGGGAGCTTATGAAAATGGCCTCTTTACAGTCGCGGAACTGAGGCTCACAAGAGAAAAGTTACTAGTCTAAGTGTACATGTCTAGAAAGCTCCAGCTGAGCATACATACTGACTTGAGGCCATCACTCTTTCTGTGGTACCGGTTTCAAGGTTGGGTGTGATAATCAGCTGGGGCTGTACTGGGGTTTACAGCTGATCTGGGGAGCGAGAACAGAGAGGGCACCTAATAAATGGGTTAGCTGGTCATGAGAAAGGGGACTGTATAACAGATAGGAGTATAACAGTGGGGTAGGGCAGGAAATAAGGATGATAAATAAGACGGACAGATTACAGGTTTTAAGTACTAGAGCATGCGGGATTACTATGAGAGACTGATGGCAAGGCCCTGCCAAAGGCCTTCTTAGAGGCCCTGCCGGGGAGGCTGTGCAGGGCGGAGAGACGCCTCCACAGTGAGCTCGCCTCTGTGTCTTACGGCTCCCGAATTCCCAGAGCGGCATCGCCCTGAGCAGAGGTCTGATGAGACTGTCATGCAGGACCCAGGAGTGGGCATGCCTTCTTTGTGAAGGTGACCAGGCGTCCCGCTTTTGGTGGGACAGTCCCAACTTTTAACAATTTGTCCCACGTCCTTCGGTGTTTTAAAAGTCCCGATTCTTGCCGAAACTGGTTTGGCTCAATGGATAGAGCATCGGCCCGGGGACTGAAAGGTCCCGGGTTTGATTCCTGTCAAGGGCATGTACCTTGGTTGCAGGCATATCCCTAGTAGGGGTGTGCAGGAGGCAGCTGATCGATGACTCTCTCATCGATGTTTCTAACTCTCTATCTCTCTCCCTTCCTCTCTATACAAAATCAATAAAATATATTTAAAAAAATAAAAAAAATAAAAAAAATAAAAAAAATAAAAGTCCCGATTCTTTCCAAGAATCGGGACTTTTTTAAAATGCTGCAGGACAAATTGTTAAAAAGCGGGACGTCTGGTCACCTTATTCTTTGTGTTACCTCTGCTTCTTTCTCCCTGCTGCCCCACGTGGGTAGTGAAGAACCAGGCGCGCTGGGTGCAGCAGTTCATCACAGACATGGAAAAGCTGTTCCAGGCCACCGGTGACCCACACTTCAACATCATCATCACGGACTATAGCAGTGAGGACATGGATGTCGAGATGGCCCTGAAAAGGTCCAAGCTGCGGAGGTGAGGAGGTCTCCTGGCTGGAGGGCAGCCTGAACCCTCTTCCTGAAGTCAGCACTGCTGGGCCCGGGGCAGAGCCACAGCTCTCATCCAGTTTTGCCGAGCCCTGTCTCTGCCATAATCCCATTCCAGGAGCACCTCGTCCCTCCTCTGAGCCTGCTAACTTCCTTCAGGGACTGCCACGGCCTAGTCCTAATGCTCAGCCCCTCTCTTCTCTCTTCCCCTGCAGCTACCAGTACATGAAACTAAGTGGAAACTTCGAGCGCTCAGCTGGACTTCAGGCTGGCATAGACCTGGTGAAGGTAAATGGACTGGGAGGGGCTTGGGAGATGAGATTGAGGGTTGGTTAAGAGGTAGAGAGACATTTGGGATGTGAAAGGTGGTCAGTTCCTCTGGGAGGAAGGAGTGAGGGCACGGGGTCCTCTCTGTTGTGCTGCCAGGGTGGAGTATTTTTCCAGAGTCCTCGGGTCCGGAAAGAGTGAGGGAGGAGTCAGAATTGACTCTCTGATTGTGAGGACTGTGCTCTGATGCCCAGGACCGTGAAAATCTGCCCAATGGTTTGTTTAGTGGAGGTTTGTCAATTATGCAAATGGGAAGCGCCAGAGGATCGTCCTAGAGGGTGGCTTGGCCTTGTAGCCCTGGTCAGAGCATCTGCTGACCCTCCCACATCTGTCCCCAGGACCCGCACAGCATCATCTTCCTCTGTGATCTCCACATCCACTTCCCAGCCGGCATCATTGACACCATCCGGAAGCACTGCGTGGAGGGCAAGATGGCCTTCGCCCCCATGGTGATGAGACTTCATTGTGGGGCCACGCCCCAGTGGCCTGAGGGTAAGCCCTGCCCTGGTCTGGGGAGGGTAGGAAAGAATTCCTGGCCTTGGCTTTTCACCCCAGAGTTGGAAATAGTCCTAACATAGAAGCAGCTCCCTCCTCACCTGCCCTCCTGCTGCTCTGCTCACCTGGATAATCCAGAGCCATGGTCGGCAAACTGCAGCATAAGAGCCACATGCAGCTCTTTGGCCATTTGAGTGTGGCTCTTCCACAAAATACCATGGCCTGGATGAGTCTATTTTGAAAAAGTGGCATTAGAAGGAGTTTAAGTTTAAAAAATTTGGCTCTCAAAAGAAATTTCAATCATTGTACTGTTGATATTTGGCTCTGTTGACTGAGTTTGCTGACCACTGGTCTAGAGATATGCCCCGCCCCCCCGCCCCCAAGGGCTGTGCAGCCACAGCAGCACAGCAATGATGAACAAGGCCCTCCCCATTTTCCCCTTTACACTTTCATCACATGTTTATCATGCATTTACTACGTGCCGGGCTCTGCTGTGTGAGGACACAAAGGTGGAAAGACAGTCCCCTGCCTCTGGAAAGGGAAATGGCCGAGGAAACCCACACGCGCTATGTTAGTAGCTACTGTGTTAACACCCTATTTTAGGACTGTCACTAGAGCTCGGTCACTCCCTGGTAGGACTGCTGCTTTCACTGGACCCTGCACCTTAGCTCAGGGGGCTTCGGCCCAAAAACAGTCTAGGGATTGCCCAGATAAGACAGTTTTCAGCCGCAGGCACGCCACTGTCCGTCTTGCAGAAGAGGCTCTAGGGAAGCCTCCTGGACGCCTTTACTGCTTCCTCCTGGCCCCGGGCTCACCTCACCCGGAGCTGCTTGTCTGTCTGTAGGCTACTGGGAAGTGAATGGATTTGGACTGCTTGGCATCTACAAGTCAGACCTAGAGAGGATCGGAGGCATGAACACCAAGGAGTTCCGAGACCGCTGGGGCGGGGAAGACTGGGAGCTGCTGGACAGGTGACTGGGAAAGGGGCATCTGAGGGCTCTGCTCTGGGGAGAGGGTGGGGCAAGACCATCCTAGACCCAGCCACCTAGGCTGCAGGTTCTCACAAGCAGGCGAAGGCAGCAGACTTAGAGGAAGTTCTACCACTTACTGGGCTCCAGTTACTTCTCTTGCGGAGACTCAGTTTCTCTGGCTATTGAAGGGGAAGATATTCCCTTTGCCTCTCACAGGGCTGGCATGGGAAGTGCTTGATAAGCTGTCATGAGGTAAGCAAACACTGACCTGCACAAATGTAAATGGTAATGACCTAAGCAGCAAGCACGTTGCAGTAGGAGCACATGGCTGCATCTGCAGGTCGGCGCTCCTCCCCCCACAGCTGCCTGGGGAGGAGGGAGAAGTTGTGGGGTGGATAAGAGAGACAGGCCAAAGGGTCAGGAAAGACTTCCCAGCCAGCAAAAGAGATCCTGTGGACCATTAAAGGTCAAGCTCTCCATGAGGGCTGGGTCCCTGGAAGCCCAGGGAGAAGGGAGTGTCAGGGAGAAGGAAACAGTCACGGGAATGAGAAACCTCAGAGAAGGACAGACGGGGAGCTGGCTGGGGTGGGAGCCCAGGCCACAGGGGTTACAGAGCTTGTGGGTGGTGAGGAAGTGGAGGCTGTGTTAGGATGAGATTCCTCTTGCAGGAAATTTGCTTCCAACAGAAGGGGAGGGAAAGAGGATGATTCTTGGAGAGTTGAGCTGAAGGGGTGGGGGCAAAGGAGAGAGGGGGTAAAAATCCAAGAAAGAAAGGATGTCATTGTAGGAACAGTGTCCAGGAGATGGGGACAGGGCAAGGTCAGGGGCACTGGGCAGTGAAGCCTTGGCAAGGAAGAGATACGCTGCTTCCTGAGGGCAAAATGCAGCCACCAGTTAGTGGGCGTCTGTCTGTACTGGTAGGTGATTCACATCCATTTCTTCCTTCAGTCTTCCCCAAACCTCTGTGAAGGAGGTGTAATTATCTCCATTTTTCCAGATAAGAAAACTGAGTCTTAATAACTTACCCTAAATCTTACAACTAGTAAGTGTCAGAGGCATAAACACTGGATGCCTTTTCCCTAGAAGGAAGAAAGGAAAGGAAGATAAGAGAATTTAAAGTGCAAAGGAGGAAGGTTGAGGGAGCTTCTATGATCCCAAAGTGGACAGAAGCCTGGGCTGGTGGCCACCTCCCCCTGTTGTCTTCCTGCGAGCTGGGAAGATGCAGACCCTGGTTCAGTGCTCAACCGCCTTCCTCCACTGAAGCCCAAGAAGAAAGGAACTGCTTCAGATTCCAGTAACATGCGCTCATGCCCAAAGTACAGGTCTCTCTGTGAGAGGGACTCCCCGTGGGCTGTGCCTGTAGGAAAAGGACAGGTGAGGGCTAGGGTGAGGTCTGCGCCAGCCTCTTCCTCCTTCAGACACGATAATGTGTGCCCTGCTGGCTGGGTGCCTGCACTGGGCGCTCCATCTACCATCTCTCATCTTTACCACCACCCTCAGGTGCCTGTATATCTTTATCCTCTTTCTAGATTAATAAACTAAGGCTGTGAGAGATGATGTGGAGCTGGGACTCAAACTGGGACTCAGGCTGTCTGGCTTCAAAGCCCACACTCTGCGCCACACCCGCTCCTGCCTGTGGAGGTGGGGGCGGGGGGAGACACGAACAGGAAGACGGGGACGGGGCTGTTGTAGATGTGGATCCTGGTTGCCTCCTGTTCTCTGTGGCTCATCCTGCCCCTCTCGCACTCAGGATCCTCCAAGCAGGCCTGGAAGTGGACCGTCTCTCCCTCAGGAACTTCTTCCATCACTTCCATTCCAAGCGAGGCATGTGGAACCGCCGCCAGATGAAGATGCCGTGATCCCAAGGGGCGGCCCACTGGACCGACCCCTTCCTGCCCCTTGACTCTCGGCTGCTCCCCAGCACCCTGTGGACTGCTGGGGGGAGTGAGGTGGGGAGCAGAAGCCATGGCTGGGCCCCCGAGGCCTCAGTGTAACCCCCACTCCACTGGAGCTGTCTCCTGGCAGACAGCTATTGAGGCCCCTCTCTCCACCTCCGGGCCTGCAGACGGAAGACGGAAGACTGTGAAGCGCAGCTTGAGGGGCTGCTCGCTCACAGTCACAGAGGCTGTGCAGTCAGGTCAGGGAGGGAAGACCTGCTTGAGTGACACCATCTTAAATCTCTGAGGTGCGAGTTAGCATCCGCCCTGCGCTCCTCCCAGGAGCAGCGACCAGGAACTGGAAGCTCTTCTATTGGACATATTTTACCGGGGTTTCATTTTTTTTTTTTTTTTTTTTTATCAGAAAAACAAACCTTAACTGTCTACAACCCAGCATAGACTACAAGAGGGGGACAGAGTGGTGCCTTTAGGAAGTGTCCCCGTTTGCATACCTCAGACCCACGCCAGTGTAGTGTAGAGCTGTGTCCCTCGGCCGTGATTGGCAGCTGATTCATAACCAGAGGAGCTGGCCCCGCGCGGAGCGCTTCCTCTGCTCTACCCCCCGGCCGTGCCTTACAGAGACACGCACATCTCCCCACATCTCCCCGGTGGCCCCCGAGCTGCTGGCCACCAATTAGGGCATTAACCTTACCCTCCGGGCAGCGCTCACTTCAGGCCCAGCAGGGGCACAGAACTGGCATCCTCTTCCTGGTGCCACGGGTTGGGAGACGAGGAAGTGGTGGGCAGTGGGCTCATCCTGGTGTCGGGCATGTAGGCCACGCAGGACAGGCGAGGCGGAGGAGGCAGAGGGGAAAGAGGATATGGATGTACTAAGTGAATCACGACATAGATGGGAGGAGGGGCCTGAGTCAACAGGAAGGGATGAAAGGGAAGCGGAGAGCTCTGAGTCCTCACAGCCCCGCTCCCCAGCCTTGCCGGCCTGCAGCGAGAGCCCCAGCCGTGGCCTTGAGTGGAAGAGGAGGATGGGGTGTGGGTGGGAGGGAACCATAAAACGGACCAGGGCAGGAGGCAGCAGGGTGGCAGGTTTGGAGAGGTGAGGATGTGGTTTTGAGTTCTCTCCCCCAAGTGGAAGGGCGTAGGGCCAGGAGGAACTGAAAAGTGAAGCAAGTTTAGGGAAAACAGCCCTCGGCCTTTATAGTCGAGGCCACCCTTTCTGTCACCCGAGGCCACGCACTTACCTTGCACTAACAATCCCCAGGTGCCTTTGTGGTGGGGATTTCTCTGCTGCTGCTGCCTCCGCCGCTGCTGCTGAATTCACCGCTGGTGCATTGGACACTGGACCCTGAGCCCTCTGGCAGTCTGGGAGGCCAGCACAAGGCTCCCTGCTGTGAGCAAGGGCTGATGGCAGGCCCAGACAGCTGGCCCAAGCCCCTGCTGCGACAGACAGTCAGGCACAGCATTTGGAGAGTCTACTTAGTTTATGTCCCTGTATTCACCAAGAGCATAAACTTGGTATAGGGGAGACGAGCCTGTTGAGAACCCTCAGGCTTGAAGGGAATCCTTGCCTCCAACTTTCGAAATCAGGAAGCACAGGGCTTTTCAGTGACTCGGTGGCTTTTGGACATTCCTGTCCTTGGGCTATGGCTCTTTAGGGTCCCTGTTCCAGCTCACTGCCTCTGGGCAAGCTCTTTGGGGAGTAGGCAGAGCTACAGGTGACCAGCTGTGGTGCTGGGTTTCTGGGGCCACCGTCATCATTCATTGGGCATCCACTGGGAGGCCTGAGCCAGCCCAACAGCCTCCTGCTTCTCGTCTAGTAACAGGGCCAGCCCGGCCTCCCCTGCCTGCCCCCCCCCCCCTTTCTGGCCAGTGCCTTGTGTTTGATGTTTGTTACCTCCACACCATCTGCCTTAAGGGGGAGGACCTGGCAAGGGCTCCTACTCTGTAGGGAAATGTCTAGGGTGGGGGAGGGACTGGGATGGTGGGGGGAAAGCATTAAATATTGCATCTTCTTAGAAAACAAAATGGCTCTTGCATTTTCTTGTTGCCCATCCTGGTGGGAGAGGGTTGGGCTGAGGGCCCCATGGTTCATGTCTCTGTCCTTCGGCCATCAGGCCCCTGAAGGACATGCCAAGGACCCTTTCACACCACTCTCCACCCATTACCATTAGTTGGATGCCTGCCGTGTGGCAGACAGCCCTCTCTGTGCTATGGTTTGCTCCTGGAGGGGACAACTCTGGTCCTGTGTGAGGACGCACAGTCTGATAGACCAGGCATTCTGTTTGGCAGGTTAATGGAGCTTCGTGGTTTCAGAGGAGCGAGGCTGGTGAACACCCCAGGTGAATAAGGCTAGAAAGAGGGCCAGAATGGTTTTGGTGAACAGTGGAGAGGAGCTGAGGTGTGGCTTACTTTAAAATAGCTGACAATTTAAAAGTATTTTCTGCTTAAGCTGGAGATGTCCTGTTGATGCTTTGCAGGTGCAGACTGACCTCCCTAGTTATATTTGGCGTAGGCATAAATCAAAGTTTATATTTCTCCAACACGTGCCTAAGACAAGGTGCTAACATGAAAGCTAGAACAGGTTTAAAGAAGGTTTTGAAAGGAGTGTGCATACATGCGTCAATCTAGAACTGACTAGTCGGCCATTGCTGTAGCATGTGGGACTTGACTCCGAGCACAATCCAAAGGAGAGGGAGTGATTTAAAAGCCTTTTCTCATTCCAGGCCTGGAGTTTAATCCTTTGAGCCCTTTCCAGGACACAGATGGAGATGGCAGCTCAGGTGTAGCTAAACACATAAAGGTTGACTTCAGTGGATTTGCAGAAACTTTTATAGATAGAAATCATTCCATTTTACCTGGGAAAACAGGCCTGGGAATGGATGGGGAAAGGGAAGGAATGGAGTAAGTCAAAACCAGAGTCCTTAAGCTGGTGGACTCAGCCTTGGGGCGACATGCCTCAGGTGCAGGTGCCACCAGAAGGAAAGGTTGGCTGTCCCACGTGGAGTTCAGGCCTGTGGACCAAGATGAAATTCACTTGGACCAGTAAACTATCCCATCTTCATCCAGGTGCTGTGGTAGGAAGCAGGCATCTACATTGCTCTTTCAGGAGCTTTCAGCGCTGTGGGAAGTGCTCATCAGCCTGGCAGGTCAGGGAGGAAAGAGGCGAAGCAACTCCGGACCCAGTGCCTGTGGGGAAGCCGAGAAGAGGCGGTGAGGGGGTGAGGCAGAGTGCCCTCGATTCCCCTTGCAGCCTTCAAAGATGCAGATGTGACTCAGCAGAGCTGGAGTGAGCCTGAGATTCTACATTTCCAGCAAGCTTCCAGTGCTTTTGCTGCTCTTAGTTCATGGACCACAGTTTGAGTAGCGAGGACTGCTGGACATTGCAAAGGGGGAAATCCCACATCTCCATCTTGCCTCTTGCCAACCACTACCCACATTGCCTCTCGCCCATCTCAGGTGATGGAAAAACCCGAGTCTAAACTAGAGGAGAAGAATCATTCACAGCACTGAGGGCCTTTCTGAGCCCTCATCCACCTCTTCTCCAGGATTCCCTCCTTGTCACAGGTCTACCTTCTCCTTTTGCATGGCAAGGATTTCTCTTACCCTGAACCCCCAGAGGTGAGGAAAGGGCCGCCTCGGGAGCCATTGGGCCTGAGGACCTCCCAGCTTCCCTCACCTGGGTTCCAAGCTGAATTCAGAGAGGATTCCTTGAGGTCCTGGCAGCCAGGAACCCTGTCTTATGTGCCCCGAAAGCTGTAATGAAGATATTGACGACAACAGTGATGAAGACCAAGATGGTGGCAGCATTGTTGAGCTGGTTTAGTTTCCACTGCATTTCTACCTCATTCAGGTTCAGCCGCGCTGTGGAGAAGAGGAGAGTGAGAGGTAAACATCAGGGTAGGGGCTACAGTCTGAAGCTTCCCTCACAAAACCTACTCGAGTTCAGAGAAGGTCTGGCAGCCCCATGTGGCAGAAGTCAAGGGAAGTGGTGTCATTGCACTGGACACCTCTTCTCTCACTGACCAGTGTGTGGGCAGGCATGTGGTGCTTCATTGAATTGGGGTTTGGGAACTGAATCTTCTGAGTGGGGAGCATGCTCACACAGGTGACACGGGACTCTGCTACCAGTTAGGGAGGGCGTGGTCCACAGTATTGTGGAGTGGCCATTGCATGGAACACCAAGTAGTAGGGTGGGGTGCCTCTCACCACCCTGTAGGTGTCACTTGGGCCTTTGCAGGTGCAGAGGGCTTACACTAGGTTTGTGTATGGCTGAGAAGTAGGCATGTACAAAGCAGGGTGGTACAGGGAGACACTTGGGGCTCATCTTCCCACTAGGGGGCACCGGGGCCAACTCCAGGCCTGAGCTCACCAATGACCACAAGGAGGATTCCGATGACGACCTGCAGGAGCAGGGAGATGCTGATGAGGGTGATGAGGGTGGCATAGTATTGAGAGGACGGCCCCTGCTCCAGCACCGTTTTCAGCCGCATGGCATTGGACATGAAGAGAGCCACGTCCAGCATGCTCTCTGCCACGCTCTTCTTGGTGGCATAATGGTTCAGGTTGATGGGCTGGCTCCTCCTGGGGTTGGGGTTCCCAGGCTGTAAGGGAGAAAGCACAGGCTTACCTGGGAGGCTTGAGAAGGGAAAGAAGATTTTTTTAAAACTCTCTCCTAACCAGGTGAGGGCAGGTAACACCCTCCTGAGTTTTATGGCCTGAAAGGCATCCTGTTATGTTAGGTTGTAATTTATATTTCACAGTGGGTAGAGTCACCCTTCCGTCACAGCTTCACACATTCATCTGAACGAAGCCAGGAGGAGTCTCAGCTGCTCCTAAAATGTACCTTCCTCACTTTGTGCTGTTTCACTTGGGCCAGGCCTCGCCTAGGGCCTCTCAGAAGACAGTAGCAGGAGGCTTGGGTGCAATAGGAAAGGCACCTCTTCTCCCAGGACACTGTGGCCCCAAGGCGGGTGCACAGTTTAGCAAAAGGCCCTGAGCTGAGTTCCGATCCCTCTCAGCCCTGGGCATTGGGCCACAAACACAGGCCCAAACCAAAACACGTCTGTTCGTGTGCATGCATGTATGCTAAAAGCTCTTTATTTTTTAATGTTCTGGCTAGGATTTATTGACATATAATTTACATTTGATTTGATTTTTAAAATATAAAATAAAGCTCTTGTCCTCAAGAAGTCACGAACGCCGAAAGATGGAGTTACAAAGCAGGCACATGGGTTGGATGTCAGGGCTGAGCCAGGAAATCCAGGCTGGGTGCTGTAGGCACTCTGCCATCACTCGGGAGAATTGGGGGCATGCTAGGGGATTTATTTACGCGTCGTGCTTGGGATGATTGGGCCAGCAGGGCTCAGAAGCAGGAGACCTGGTGAAAGGTATGGTATTGATTTAGGGTCAGGGTGATAAGGAACTGAACCCGAGTGGTGGTGAGGAGAGGAAGGAAGGACTTTGAGAGATGGGACAGCCTGGGGCAGGTAGCTACCTCAGCAGGTGACCACAGCAGGATCGCTGTGGAGTGGGTGGGTGGGTGGATGGGTAAATGGAGTGGATGTCCAAGGGTTCTGGAGGCTCCTGGATGCTGGGCTTGTTCAGTTAGTGCCAGGGGTGCCATGGCCAACGGCCCACAATAACACCACGGCTAAAACCTGTGGTCCTAGCCCATTCGGCAATGGTTCATTCTGGGTTCAAAGGATATATTAAGTGAGAGTCTGGGGAGCAGCCCAGCTCTCCCCACAATTCAAAGGGCTTCTGCCCGAGAGCCGGCTTCCCCCCTTGGCTCTGCCCACTACTCACCAGTTTGCCCAGTAGATACAAGCTTTGCACTTTTTCCTTTTTCCGAACCCAGTTCTCAGTTCAGGGTCTGATAAACTCCGAAATTACTGTGAAAGCTTCAAGGGAGAAAACCCCTTTTCTGAAGTGTTGTATATTAAAGTGGAAAACCCCGGTTTGGCTCAGTGGATAGAGCTTCGGCCTGCATTTTACGGGTTCGATTTCGGTCAAGGGCACTGCCCCGGGACTGTGAGCTTGATCCCCAGTTGGGGACTTGCGGGAGGTAGCTAATCAATGATTCTCTCATCAGGGAGGTTTCTGTCTCTCTCCCTCTTCCTTCCTCTCTGAAATCAATAATTTTTTTAAAGTGGAAAAACCTTAAATTCAAATAGTGTGTGAGGGGGGTGGGTACTTGGGGACATAGAGATGTCCCCAAGCCTCAACAAAAAATATTGTCATTTGTAAGTTTTATGAGAATGTCTAGGCTTTTGTTATCAAGTTGGTCTTAGAGCCTCATCCTTTCCACTCCAACTTAGGGCCTGCTTTTATTTTTATTTGTGCCAGTTCAGGATTGCTGCAGCTATGGTGGTGGGAGGCTCTGCAGGGTGCCCCCGCCCCCAAGTTCCTGAAGACACCAGTTCTCCACAGTGTCCACAAGGTGTCGCGCTGCCTCCAAAGAAGTGCCTTGGGCGCCCAGGCGGCCCTGGTGGCGGTGGAGTTTCTCCTCCCGAGGACTCCACTGACAGGCAGGCTCCTGTGAAACCTAGACTTCCTGGAGGCCCCAGACAGGGAGCCTGGTTCACAAGTCTGGAAAGGCCAACCTAAAGCCCATCAAACGGGTGTCCGATGAGTTCTGGGATAAACCAGTACTGCGATGGGGCCAGGACTGGGTGGGGAACCAGCACTACCTGCCTTGGGACTGTGGGACCCTGGAAAAAGTTGCTTTGAAAGGGAGGGGAACAGTTTTCTTAATCCTTCTTGGTCAGTTTAGGTGCAGTCCTGCTCTGAGGCAGAGGCCTTACTGCAATGACCTGAGGGTCCTCTTTTATAGCCTGAGAATTTGATTGGATGAACCCCAAATCCCACAAGGTGCCACCCTTTTTACCCACTTCCCAGAAATTAGGAGCAACCCAACAAGGATTCGGGAGAGGACAGTAAGGATGGCAGGCCTGGTGATGGGCAGGGTGGCCCCTCTCCTGCTTCTAGGAGCTGGCCCTTTAAGGCTTAGGCCCAGGCAGCCTGGAACAAAGGCCCGGGAATGTGGGCTGGGCCAGCTAGTGGAGCCACCCAGTCTGAGTCATTGGTATTTCACGGGACTAGGAATCACTGCCTCGTCTGCTCCCTCCCTTGGCCCCTGCCCTCTCTCAGGGCTGAGGGGCAGCTCTGGAGGTGCCCAAGGTTGCCTGAAGCAGCCTGCAGGGCTGATCTGACGGAGCTTGCTGGGACCTCCCCTCCCATCTACTCAAACCCACTTGCCCTGCCCTAGCTTCTGGCCCCTTCCTTCTGGTTCCTCAGAGAGGGCCTGGAAAGACAAGGGCTTCTTTCTGGCTTCTGGGCCCAGATCTGCCTCTGGGCTTGGCACTTTGGGCCCCAGTTTCCACATCAATAAAACAGGAGGAAAAACCCCATCTCTGGAGGGGTGGAGGCTATAGAAAAACTGATGAGACTTTGAACTTCCTCAAAAAGAAAGAACTGCAAGCTCTTCTAATTTTTCCCCCAGTCTGAGATCTATCTCAACACATCTTATTCCATCCCACTGCACCCAACCCTTGTAGTGGAGGACAGCAGGTGGCCATACCAGAGACTCCAGAGTCCTTATCCCAAGAAAGCAACCTATTCAAATCCTGCCAACCGATGAATGACACCTGAACACTGAGGGGGAATTTTGGTTGATATGAACTTGGAGCAGGGGCGGGTGTGGGAGGTGGAAGTAGATCCAGAGTTCCTTTCTGGAGCACGCAGAGGTTCTGGGCAACAAGAGGCCTTGGGCTTGGTAGGGGGGAGGGAGGGATGGTGATGCAAGGGGTTGGGGACACAACAGACACCCTCCACCCGGTTCCCGGTCTGCCTTACTCCCCAGCACCACCTTTCCCCTCCCTCTGGTTCCAGCTCAGACTTCCCTGGGTAACAGCTCTCCTGCCAAGTCCCAGCTCCCCAGGTTGGTGTGGATTCCAGCTCTTGAAGTCATGGATTGCTCCATTGCTCATTCTTTATCTCTTAATCCTTGATGGCCTATATTATTTTTGTTTCTTTACAAAACTTGCTGGCCAGGAAAGGAATGTCTCTTTTAACAGAAAAGTAAACAAATTTTTCATTGTTTATTGACATTACGGGGACCACAAGCTCCAAGATATCATTTTGCGTTTCTCGGAAACAAGATTTCCAAGGGGTAACTGTCCCACCAGAAGGCCGTGGGAACCACTGCTCAGCGTGTTTGGGACCTGGAGCCTGAGGTGGCCGCAGTGAGTGACTGCCCAGTGGAATAGGAGCTGCCAGGAGGTGGAAGTTTGTGGCAGCCAGGAGAGTACCACGGGAGGCACTCTGGCCCCAGGTTCAAATCCTGGTTCTGCTACAGAATAGATGCATGAGCAAGTCTGGTCCCATCACTGGGCTCCTTATCTGTGAGACAGGGTGGGTGGGTGGGGCAGGGCGGGGTTAGTCATTTCTTGGGTCATTCTAACAAAGAGAGCTGTAGGGGTGGGGAAGCCCCTCCTCCTGAGGGGAGAATTATCAGAGCTTGAGAGTATTTCCCTTAAAGAGGCAAAGGTCAGACAGCTGTAGAGCCAGAGGGGCAGATGCAATGAGTCACTTTGCTCCAGGGCATTGATGACCCACTAATGTGTCATTCTGGTGAATGCCACATGGCAGTCTTCCTGTGTTTAAATTCAAACTCAAGGCTGTGAACGAAATAAGCTTGGGGCAGTGGCCTCTTGACCCTTCTGTTGGTCTCAGAATGACTGACAATACAGAAAAGCCAGGTCTCACCTGAAAAAGAGATGGTGATGAGCCAAAGCTTTGGCTAGCTGGTTTTCCATAAAGGGAGGGTAGGTCCCAGCCCAGGAAGAGTATTGGTTTGGGTAACCTGTTCTGCCAATTTGTTTTTAATTAGGGTGCCTGAGATCCCTAATCCTCTGTCAGAATTAAGTTTGAAAGGGTACCTGGGTCTGTCATACTGTGCACACACACAGTAGGCTCATAGTACACTGTGAATAATAGTAGTTCCCACTTACGGAGTACATACCCTGTGCCTGGTATAAGGTTAAACACGGGACATGAGCCATTGAATCTAGTCTTCACATCAGCCCTGTGAAGTCGGTGTGGGCTCATGATAATAATAGTTATAAAAGCAGAGGCTCAGCCAAAACCGGTTTGGCTCAATGGATAGAGTGTCAGTCTGAGGACTGAAAGATCCCAGGTTCAATTTCGGTCAAGGGCATGTACCTTGGTTTGCGGGCACATCCCCATTAGGGAGTGTGCAGGAGGCAGCTGGTCGATGTTTTTCTCTCATTGATGTTTCTAGTTCTCTATCCCTCTCCCTTCCTCCCTGTAAAAAATCAATAAAATATATTTAGAAGAAAAAAAAAAAAAAAAGCAGAGGCTCAGAGAGCCCAAGTAACTTGCCCAAGTTCACACAGCATAGTTTTTACCTCAACTCTCTGTGTGCCAGAGCCTGTAATTTTAACTCCTACTCTGTTATCTCCCAGAAGTTGAAGACATACTCCCTGGCTCCAAGGAGTTTAGGATCTAAAGATAAAAATATAAAGATGAACCCCAGCTAGTGTTTTCAGTGGTTAGAGCACAGGCCAGTGAACCAAAGGGT